ACTTTTCCGGGACAGTTTACTGATATCGCCTATGTCTAATTTTGATTTACTCAATGCTGTTAAAAAACTAAAAATAAAAAACTTTAGAGGTGCTTTTATGCGCGATAACTTACCAAAACAACCGAACACTACTGAAACAGGTATTATAAATCTCGATAAAAACTCTGGACCAGGTACCCATTGGGTAGCGTATGCAATTGATCCACGTGGAATTATTTATAATGGTAGATATTTATGGAAGATCTGCTCGTGGTAAAACTCAGCAGCCAGGTGATTTATCTAAATATGCAACCCTTGATCAACTGAGAAATGAGATTGATGATTTATTAAATATTACAAACGTGGATCAAAATGAAGTAGTTATTTTTCAGGACAAACAATGACGATTAAAGACAAGTAATATACGACTACCAGACGTACTTACACGAATTCCTACTGCAGTTGATGATAATATCGTAACTTTTAGAGATCAAGGTAAAATACAGGATTCCGGTAAATCAGTTAACGATTATGTCAGAAAAGCTGGCGGTACATTTAGTGGAGACGTTATTATGAACAAAAATAAAATCACAGATATTGGAAATCCAACTACAGATAGTGATGCTACAACAAAAAGATACGTCGATGATAAACAGACTCCAATCGTTAATGGAATAACCAAAATCGAAACTGAATTTACCGGTCACGTGAACACGTTTGTAAGTTTTTGTAGCAACATAAAGAGAATTAACAACGAAATTTTTGGAAATCCATCTAATGTTGATATAAAACTTACTGATATTATAACAAAACTTAATGATATTATTCAAAAAACAAACCTGATTAAAATTCCTCACAATCAGATAAGAAATATTGTGAATACAGTTGCATATGGGTTTGGATCGTGGACTCCAGAAAATAATACCATTAAATATACTGCAGAGATTACTGGTATATATAGGATGTCCGTACTTAGCGTTGCAGATTTTAGAATATCCACTACAAATCCATCGACTAAGAATTCATTTAAAACTATATCTGTGTTGTTAGATAAAAATTCTGAAGGAACGTTTACGCTGGCATCATCGAGTAGAAATTTACCACAAGCTTACTGGTGGTGTTTGGAATTTATAACTGAATTAACTACTTAACATCATAGTATAATGGATCAAATAACTACTTCATCTATCGACGTTCAGCGTCACAGATATAATCAAGCATGTGAATGTCTGGCCAAACTAAAAAGTACCATCGACCATTATACAATAAAAGTAAAAAAAAATATCGTAGACGTATGGTCGTTATTGATATAATTGTGTATTCAGTTTCTGCTATTGTTGCTGGATCCGGATTAATATTATCAACATTAACGATGACAGCTCCAGCAATTATAACAATTATTGTTTCAACTTCTACTACTATAGCAGGTATTGTTAATATTATTGCTAAAAAGATAGCTACATGTGCGAATGATAAATTGCGCGAGTATATGATAAAATTACCCACAGCAACAGCAACATACTCTAAACTATCTGGATATATTTCCACGTATCTCAGTGATGGTAAAATATCTGACGAGGAGTTCGTAACGATAATTAAAACCTACAATGAAGCATTCAAAATTGTTAGTGATTCTGCTGACACAATAAATGGAGAATTAAACAATAATAATAACAATATTGTCAGCACCTGAACATCGTTTGGATATTGAGTCGAGAGAGTTATTACAGTAGATCGTCGCTAATACAACTCCTTCAAAAACTACTATGATATCAATAAGTTAGACCAATCCTGAATTCAGCGTTAACTTTCCAACTGCAATTCCAGTAAAAGAGATAGCATTAGCTCAGTTACGTGTTTATTATAGCTGGCCTAATATTAGATCGAAACCATTTGGTGGACAACAATCAAATAATTCATTAGTATTCACAAATAAAAATAAATCTGATGGAACTCCCGATTGGCAAGTTGTTAGTATTCCAACAGGCAGTTATGAGTTTATAACACATTAATGAGGAATTCTAGCGCAGAATTAAGTCCTTAACCGGGAAAGAGTCTAAATTAGCAATTACTGTTTACGAACCAACATTATCGTCAGTGATTGAAATAAATTCTCCTGACTCTGCTGTAGATATTTATCAAAGTTCGATTAGATCAGTATTATGTTGTCCTGAAGTTGAACCTGTTTATAATGAAGTTTCAAAACCAAATAAAGATGAGTTTAAAACGAGCGAAGAAAAATTCACTAAAAATCCACAATATCGAGAACATCATCCATGGAATTTATTAAAATTTAAATTTGATCCAAATTACGATAGATATTATTTGACAGATTTTGACGGTAAAAGGATCCCAAATATATTTAAATCAGCATTTAATTTCGCCGTAGAAACCAGGACGAAGAATCGGCAGATTGTTGATGAAAAACTTATAACAGAATTTCTGAATACTCTTAAGCCTGAATACGATAAAACGTTTAATGATTCAAGAAACTTACTTATTTCATTATCATATCATTATGATTATAGTGTAAAGCAGCAAATAATCGATTCAATAAAACACTTAAATGAGATCCTACTCGATTTATACGTCGCCAATTGAAGTATTGTAAATGTTGCAACTAATCTTAGTGAAGATTATTTTACTAATCAAGAACGTAATCAATTATTTCTCGATCATTATAAAATAACAGAAGGGGACTTACAAACATTTACTATACCAGATCTAAATAACGCTCAGATGAAGAGACCATTAAATGATCTTATTGAAGAATATTGTCCGGAAGTAATTAAATCGTGGGGAAAAAAGCACCACCACCAAACATACTTAAACATAATAATGACCCATATGGAACAGGACGACATATCTCACCTAATACTGTTAATATAACATCCACCATTGCACTAAATTTAATATGCGATATAATTGATAATAACTACCATTTTGACCTCTCTAAGTCTAATCAGACTCAGCAAGAATATATATTATATTCATCCAGTATTAAAACACCACAAGGGTGGCTTATTGTATCTGAGCCACTAAATCAAGTCTACCTGCGTGTACATAATCCATTATTGTCGAGAATGAATTTCAAACTCACAAATCAAGATGGAAATATAATTGACTTAAGAAACGAAACTCTATATATTAATTTATACAGACGATCCTAGATTGGTCTGGATAAAATATTTGGTTAATCCCTGATAAAATCAGGTGACAAAGTCAGGAGCAGCAGGGAGGGTGAACCTCTACAAAATTTTGCTCGAGTTTTTAACGAAACAAATAGTTCGAAAAAGTCAATAATAGTATAACAAAACCGAGCTAACCTCATGCGGTTTATTAACCGTACGGAAATATAAAAGTTAGAGATTTTGTTTTAGGGTTATTGACTTTTTTTCAGCCTCTGTAGGAAACCTTATTTTAGGTTAATGACACCAGCAAAAATTTTGTAGGGTTCACCCTCCCTGCTGCTTATCAGATTTAAAAGTGACAGTAGAAAAAAGATAACATATTGTCAAATTAAACTGCAACACATCAATAGACAATATGCAAATGCACAACTTTCTTTTTGATTTTATAATTATGAATAAACTTGAATGAAATATAATAGAGAGGAGTATGCCTAATAATTTAAATAGGCATATGACTATATTATTGTTTAAAGCACGCACAATGATTACATATGATTAAAAGACAAAATTGTATATTGCATACAGCCAAATGCTGTTCCTTGGGTTAAAAACATGATATCAAGTCAAACTAAATGAAGTTGCTTGCTAAAAATAGGCGTTATGGGAATATTTCAAGTTTCTTTTGTTCTTAATTTAGTTTGATAGAGAATCGTGAGGTAAGAAAATGTAAATATGGGAGAATGTGGAGGATTGCATAATAATTCATTTTCATTCTGATGTCCGATCACTTTCATACCCTTTTCAAATATTTAAGTAATTTTATTACAGCTGGATCTCTCTCAGCCTCAATTACAATGACACGATTGACAAATAAGAAACATTTAACTTGGGAATTCGTTATCGCTCAAATGAATGGCTTAGTATATTAAATGGTTAAATTCAACCTAAGACTACTTTATTCTATTTCTGGCACAATGTTGGTACTACATGAGACACTTGCTTTAAGATAATTCCTTTTGAACCACCATTTCTGTTTGGGATCAATTTGAAGAAATTTAGAGGTAATTGGCTTAGGAACTGCCCATCCTTCAAATCCTCCATCTATATCCATGATTACAAATAGTGGGATGACAGGAGGACATAGATTTCAGAGATTGAGTTCTTGCATTGAGGCATCATATTTGAACCCAATTGGGCAACTTTATAAGTGCCAATTATAAGAGATTTTCTGGAACAATTCACCCTCAAGAACCTGATTTTGTTTTAAATTTTGCTTGGTTTGCTCTATAAAAAAATATAAATATCTGCACCAATTGGTATGTTGCGACACATCATTCATATTAATGGGTGTTTTTTGTGGTATTTTATGCAATAAATAAATGTTTACACCTTCCTCATTGAAAATGTATTTATTAGTATGTAATGTGTACAAATGAAATGTTGGGAGCTTGAAATGTAGTGTCCCATTAAGAATTCATTGAAAGTTGATTTTTGTATAAAAGTACACAAAAATCTGATGAGTCTTCACCGGAACTTGATTTATGGGTTTTTTTTCCATCGTACAACAAGCATATATTATGTAAATGTAAGAGTTCATTACATTCAGGACAGTTGTATTCAATTCTAACTAAAATGTTAAAGAAAAGGATGTGATGTGATTATGATTTTTAGCATAGTTTTAACAATATTTCAGTCAATTCCCTATGATGTCCGCAGTGTGACAGTTTATAGTGATGTCTAGCACATGGACATCATGCTACAGACATGTAGCACGATGTCCAATCCAGTCACATTATCCTGACACCAGGCCAACCAGTCCTAACAATAACCTCTTTATGCTGAGCGTCAAGCAAGGTAGCTGTTAGTACCATTTTTGAAAGTCTCTAACAGGACTCGACCGGGGATTGAACCCACACCCTCCTGTATCTTAGGAAGATGCTCTAACCACTAGGCCACTGGAGTGGCTTAAAGAAAAGGAGAGTTTAGAATGGGGTTTTAGCATTATTTTTAAATTTTTTCAAGATAAAGTGTTGTGATCCACTGGGGTTTACTTGTGCCTGAGATTTTGCACTAAACAGATAAAGCTGCATGAAAATGTACCTATCGATAATGTCAAGGGAGGTAACTTTGTGTTTGGTACTTATTTATTCATAAAATAGTAGCACTGATAAAGGAACCCAACCAGCTGAGTCCCAACAAGTTTGCACAGTTAAACACAATTTCACTATTATAACATTTGCAGCTCAAATTGGCCAATATTCACAAAGAACAAATATCTTTCATTGTTATTGGCGTTTATTCAGAACAAAATTTATACCACTACTGTATTGGGATAAACAAACAACGCAAAAGCCAATAATTATGTGCAATTAGTTTCACATTTAATACATGCTTCTTAAGGCACAAAATGTTTTGAACGAAATGGATGACATCTTTTTTATGTTAAAATAACAATTACGTCACATCATAAATGATATGAATCATCATAACAATTATATATATATATATATATATATATATATATATATATATATATATATATATATATATATATATATATATATATGAATAAATGACAGGATCTAAAAGAAGTAGCATAGGGAAACAAGTTTATCAACTCAAACCCTTATTTTGCCCCTCCAAACAAACAAAAGTATTAGTAAGGTTTTTAGCTCACCCCCTCTCTATTATTACAGTGTTAGTGAATCCAGGTAGAGATTGTAAATGATCGGTATCCAGGTAAGCTTACAGAAGCTCCGTCATTATACTACAAAAGGTGATAGCCTATCCTGATTTCACAAAACAACAGGTGCAGGCAGGTGTTTTGTAGTGTTACAAAACAACAGGTGCAGGTGAATCATCCAGGTAAGCTCGCGTCATACAGAGGTTATGGACCAATGAAATCTCATAATATTCACACGTGATCGCCCGTGTATAAAAGACCTATACATTCTTAATTACGCAGTATTCACCAGGTAGAAAAGCGGAAATTAGAACGTAGCGAGAAAGGTAAGTAATATTATTTTATACCCCATTACCAATGATTAATGTTTCAATTGTTGATATTAGAAATACTTTATTATCACGATTGTAGAGACTAAATTTTACTTTTCCGCTCACACAGCGACGGGACTTGAATAATTCTTTTATTTGTGGTTTGTTTAGAGGATTTTTTTTGTCGATAAAATATACCTTTGACCGATCGAGATCAATTGTGAGTTTAGTATATTTTTGTTGGCTAATCGGACTGTGAAAGTTTTTAAATTCCGCTAGCAACTTTTGATATAATTGTTCGAGATAATTGAAGCACTCGCTGTTATCAGATCTGATGAGTGAAAGTTTTAGCTTGTCACGTGTTCCACTAAAACATGTACCTGATGTTTCATTATTAAATTCAACTGTCAATTGTTTGCCATCCATCATTAGATATTTGATTTTACTACTGTAGCTATTTGTCATTGTCAAATTTTCAAACATTATTTTATAAGTTTAGATAAAATTTTAGTCGGTCATCATCATGACAATACCCAAGGGCAAGTGTATCTACCCCATTTTCGCAATAACGTTTGTCATCAAAATTACTCAATCCACGTTTGATAATGACATCTGTTTCAAGCTTATCATGATTAGTCCGAATTGCCATAGCTCTCACAAAACTATCACCGCCATCAAGCGCGTACTTGTAGTCATCAAATTGCATAAACTTTTTAACAAAATCGCGAGGCAGACCTTTTGCTTTATTTGTTATTTCGTTATTGTCTAATAATACGGCATACATTTTGCTGCGTAATCCGATAAAGTATTTGATAGCGCTCGAGTTCATTTCATCTTTGAACTTGCAAATAACCTTTTTATTTGTGTCGTCATGAAATTTACTGTCATGTGGGTAATCAGAAATATCAAACAGATGTCGATTATCGTACATGTCCTGATAGATGTCCTCGCATTCGGTTTCATATACGAGCGAATCAGTATCAGTAAACAATAATCTACTGGCCGGCCACTGATTTTTAACAAAATTATAATGAAAATCGTACATCAGCCACTTTGATAAATCTAACACTGAAGCTCCAACGTAGATCGGCTTGTTTAGCTTTAGATTTGTTTCTCTTTTTTGTATCGCAACAAGATTCTTATTAAAAATTTTTACGATCACAAAATCATCGTCTGACACAAGTTTGTTTCTGCGATGGATATCATTAACTAGTTCGATATTTACGCGTTTCCTAATATTCTCCATCGTCTTACCAAAAACGGAATTGTTCATCAGTTTGAAGAAGTTTTTCTCAAAATCTGTTTTTGCTGCAGCCCTTCTTAAAGTGTTGGAGTTAATGTAACCTCTCATCCACGGCGACTGATTAAATTTTAGTACACGATGAACTTTTCTCAACATAAGACCAGCATCGACTGCTTGTTTTAAAACTTTGTAATGCAAAACATAATTTTTCTTATCGAGTAAATTTGGTACTAGTTTCTTGACCAAGGAATGTTGCCTTGGTGATGCTAACGCTTGTTGTTCTTCTGATAACAAACTATAATCTATAACCATCGATTCCGCGCAGAAAAGATAATCGTTATGTAATTTGTGTAGCCAAGTTGGATAATCAAGATCAACTTGAACGAGGTATGAAACATCTTCGGGTATCTTTTTTTCTGTTTCAGATAGTAATCGATCAGCCGTGATCCAGTGAAATCCACCAAGAGGCATTGGTTCTATCATTGAACCACCGTAAAGATTATTGCAATCTAGATAAATTATATACTTCGAAGGGAGCTCAGGATTATAATCTTTCAAATATTTGTTGTTTGCTTCAGCATATTTTTTCGTTATCACTATAATACCGCCTCTGATAACTGTACCTATTATATCTGTTGTTACACATTGACAGTATGCGACAATTTTATTTTGCTCAAGACACAAATCTGTCAGAATCACAGTTGCATATCTTTCTATATTTATAGTCGTCTACTAAAATAACCTCCCTGACAACATTAGGATAACCAGATCCTATCGACACTGTCACTAGGGACGTTTTCTTTAAAAACATTTTTTCTTTTTCGACAGATTGCACAAGTACTCTTTAATATCACCCTGTTGTTTTTTGTTTTTTCTGTAGTTTCATTAATATTTTCTGTTTTAGTTCTACACTTGAGACAAAATGTTGATATTATTATATTTGGAAGTTTAGATAAAATTAATTGCAATCTCATCATTAGCGTGAGAAAATTGCTTGTCAAACTGTAAAATAAACTTTAAAAAATTGAGATTTCTGCTCATCTGTCGGATAAACATTATACAATAATATCCGCAAGCAGACGTTCCAACAGGCTGGAGTTGATTTGATGAATAATATACCTTTTTATATTTTTTGTTCATATACCTTTTTATTACATCGCTTGGAGGAAGTCCAAACGATTCGAAATAATTATTATTATAAACTGCTACCCAATGTGTACCGGATCCGTCATTGAAATCTTGCAAATTTATCACACACGAACTTACAGCTGACGGCGATTTTATTGCTGCGAGTTCATCTTTAGAATAAACTCCGTGAAATCCTGGAACCGCTTTTAACTTATCGATTATATCAAAATTACTCAGCGGTGTGGTCGTGTTCCTGGTACTGTTAGGCCACGTCCGATTCCTAAAAAATTTGGCAGCAGACTTCCCGCTAGTCCCGCCAAAAGTGGAGCGAATGGAATAATTCCTCCTTGTTTCGTTTGATTGCATATGCATTTGCATTTTGGTGTTGGCGATTTTGTTGTTTTCTTTTTTTTTTTTCATTTTTTCTGAGAGATTTCTTTTTCTGTTGTGGCATAATGATATATCATTTACATAAAATTTACAATTTTTTTATTCCACTTCCACGATTGACACCATTACCCTCAACAGCTTTCTTTGTTGAGCCAGAGACTGCTCCTGACATTGCTGCTAGTCCTAATGTTCCCAACACCGGCAAAACTTTAGGTATTATTGTACTAGCTAATACTGATAATGCCGGACCAAGAAAACCACCTTTGACGACAATGTCGTTTACCATCGCCGTCACTTTGCAGCACTCAAATTTAAAACAAAAGTTTTTTTACGATCATACTTCTTTACTTGATTTTTTGTTAGCATTAATTTTGTTAAAACACAATTAGAAATATTAGGATTGATTTTTAATGATACCTGTTCTCGCTTTGCAATAGCAGATGCTAATTTTTTAACCTGGCCATCGGTCAAATATACTTCTTTTACAATATATTTTGCCATTTTATATAACAACTGTAGATTAAACTTGAACTGTCATTTTACCTCCAATAGAATCTACGGTGATAAATCTATCACTAATCACTAATACGTATACGTATAACGGCGCTACTGGAACCTCTTCATGTGTTCAGATACATTCAATATCCGCTGTGCTGTCTAGAGCTCGCTCGTTATGTTTACTAACATCAAAATGAAATATAGGATAAAGAGTACGAAATTCCTCTGCTGATATCTGAGTTCCATCTTCAACATCTTGATATTTTTGCATTGCGTCAAGCAGATACATGTACGGTCGAGAAATATTTTTTTTAGCGTCATCAGCAAAATTGCACTTTATAGCACGATCTGGATATTGATTTGAATTTAATCTAGCGTATATTCGTCTGACATCAGCGTGGTCAAATATTGCATTATTTTGTTGTTGGTTTCCTCGTCGGGCGCGTTGTTGAAATACGACAAATATTTGTCTCGGCAGTTGTTCGCTTGATGTTGTTGTGACCCTCCACGTGTAGTCAGTAGTATTTGGAACCTCTGTCTGATATATTTTATGCTGCTTAAAATAAATTCCGTTTGCGTGCTTATCAAGTGTTCTATTTATTTCTGACATTTTAGTGATCGACGGTGTTATACATAGCATCCACAGAGCAAGTTTGTTTATGATAAACTGTACATCAACCCCTCCAGATAAAAACAAGCAATCGTTTTG